CCTTAGGTACCTACATGCTTGCCCACTGCCCACCCAACTCCCACCTTCTCCCCCACCCCACACCCCTGCCTTAGGTACCTACATGCTTGCCCACTGCCCGCCTAGCTACCCTGCCTACCCTCTGCCCTCCCCTCCATCTGCATGCAGATGGGATTTGAAGCCAGAGCTGTTTCAGTGATCCTTGCTATTGAAAATAGCAGCCCGGACACACTGGCACAGATGGAAGGGAGCCACTCCGCAATCCTGGAGCCAAATGGGAGGTCCAGGTTCAGATCCCAAGTCTGCTGAATATGCTGGGTGTGCCCACCTCTGCCCGTGACCTGGTGGCTGGGAAACTGGCTGAAAGATGATGGCATGGCTAGACTCTGTGGAGAGTGCCTGTCTTCCACCCACCCTCCCTCTCTGTTTCTCTCTCACTCTCATGAAATAAATAACCAATCAAAATGTAGATATTAACAAAGAAGCAAGAGAAAAGGTAATTATGGGCACTGAAGACTTTTTTCCCCTATGATTTGCATTCTTGGTGATTCAACAGAGTAAAATAGATTCCTTGATTAGGAACGCTTAAGAATGAAGTTTTAAGCATTTATCAAATTTTATTACCTACTTTGTATAATCTAATGGGTCTTCTAAGTAATTATTTTTATAATTCTAATTTATATGTGCCTGGGATGGTGCTGATTTGTGACAATAGTCCCTTATAATTATTAATAGAATCACTTTTTACTATCAAATGTGTCCTAGTTCAGATGATAAGTTATGTCACACAACTTGTAACTAAATGCTGTACTTTCCTTTGGTTACCATGAGAATGGTTGAGTTCGACAGGTCACATTCAAAATAGCCTGAAATTAAAGTACATAAGATAGGTTTTGTATAGTACATGATGATATGTTATATTTTAGTAGTTAGTGTAGGTAGCTTTAGTGCACAATATGATATTTTCAAGTTCAATGAAAATTAAGCCAGCCATTTCCTTCAGCTTTGAGCGTACATGATTCAAGTTTCCACATTGGTAAGAGTTATTCTTGGGCTTAATGAAAATTCCCAACATTTAGAATAGCATTGGAAATGTAAGCTTACACTCGAAACCATGAGATCCATTCGAGACGCCACCCGTGCCCTTACTACTGTGACCTGCTGACTTCAGGGCTCAGTGTGAAAGGTGGCGGGAGGGCCCCACTGGTGGCTCGTGGCCTTGATGGCTCCGGGGAGAAGTTGGAAAAGTGTGCAGTAAGCGTCTGCACGTGAGGCGCTGTTCGTTCTTTATGTTTGCAGTTTACCGGTGCTCAAATTGTTGCTATATAGATGTCATCGTAGCTCACCTTGTCCCACATGGCATGGCCTGAGAGGACAGCAGACTCCCATCTGTGCCACCTCTGCCAGTGGGTCGTGCCCCTCTTCCCACCGCAACAGCGACAGGGACGCTGCGACCACAGGCACTGCAGGTGATGGATCGATCGGGAAGCCTGCGTCGAGCGGCACAACTTTATATTTTATGTCAGGTCCAGAGGCTCCTTATTACTTTGCTATTAACTTTATACCATATAGGACAATGTCTCACAGACAGAGGTATCTGTCTTTTTGGCATTTATCTGCCTCTGTGGCACAAATCAAACATGATTCTTTAATACCAAAGTCAGTTCTGAAGACTATTTTCTTCAACAAAAAAGCTTAGTACAACTCAGTCTAGGCACTTAGCTTTTATGCTGGGTTTAAAACGTTTAAGCAACATACAACTTTTTTTCTCGAAGACCAGACATGTACAGTGCATTTGAAATCTATATTTCTCTGAGGTATTCCTATCTGACATGGTTTACCTTTTTACCACAGAGTGTCCACGCAAATTACAATCAGCTTGAAAACGGATAGGTATCAAAAGTGTTCCAAATGGCGTAAATAATTCCCTACTGCAATCCAGACTGTCTAGGGGGGCTGACACAGAGCATCTTCCAGTCTAAGATTTACTTTTATCACCTGTCAGAGACCCTTGATTCAAGGGCACAGGAGCAAATCCTCGCATGTAGTCGAAGAGTCTTGGCCAGTTTAATAACCACCCCGCCCAAAGGGATGCAAAGTGTGAGTTGCCGTGAGACGTGGTCAGCCTGCCTGACAGATGGTTGACACACAAAAGGACACTGTGTTGTACCCACAGCCATTCTGGGAGCCCTCCTCCATCTTTCTTTTACTCTATCAGTGGTTTCCAAGACACAAAATGTTCCTTGAAAAGCAGCATAATTTAAACTCATGTGCACTGAAATTTCACCCTTCTTATTTATTTAATTTTTTTTAATAAGACATAGACAGGTAGCCCTGCTGACATGCAGATAACAGTATTTGAGAACAGCGAATATCTTGCTCATAAGCTATTCATCCTTTTACCTTTGGAAGGTCAAAGGAATCAGAACTGCTCCCAATATTTACCGTATCTGTTTGATCAATCCCCCATCAAAAATATTTCTTTAATACATGTATACGCCTCTTCACGTAGTGCCTGTCTTCTTTCAAGCAGCTAACAAATAGTTCACCATGTGAAATAATTTTTCTTTTGAACTTTACAGTCTAGAAGTTGGATTTATATATTTGACTACATATTTCTTTTTTTTTTTTTTTTTGAGAGGTTTTTGCCATAGGGCGTGTGCGCTCCATGCTGCAATCCCTTCTCCTCCATTCTCCTCTCGGGATCTTGGGCACGCACGCACACGTGCCCAGCGTGAGTTTTAAGCCACCGGGTCCGGGACACAAACCACGGTCTACTACGTGGGAGTCCAGCGACATAGCCATTACGCTAACTACTGGTCCTGACTATATATTTCGACAAATAGTAAAATCCTTCTCTCTTTCTCCAGTGTTATTTTCCTGGAGAAATTACTCACAAATGACAAAAACTTAAAAAGTTATATATTAGTATAATAGTGTTGAAAGTGTAATGGAATTGATTATTACAAATGGACAGTTTTGTACCAATTTGATTATGGCATTCTTCCCAAGCAAGGGTCCAGACATAAGGAAGTTCTATTTTCAGCTCTTTCAGAAGCCTCAACACTGATTTCCATAAGGACTGTGCTAACTTACATTTCTAGGAACAGTACATGAGCTCCTCTTCCTCTGCAGCCTTGCTAGCCTTTGTTGTTGTTATTATTTGTTATCTTTTTGAGAGCAGCCATTCTAACTGCAATGAGATGACATCTCATCGTGGTTTTGATTTATATTTCCCTGATGATCAGTGTTACTGATAATTTTTTTTCACATTTGTTTGGAATTTATATGTCTTATTTAAAAAAAAAATGGTTCAGAACTTGTTCCAGGTTTTAACTGAATTATTGGGTGTGTGTGTGTGTGTGTGTGTGTGTTTTGTTGTTGTTTTGTTTGTTTGTTTGTTTGTTTGTTTGTTTTTTTGCTGCTCGATTGAGTTCCTTGTATATATTCTGGATATTAATTCCTAGTTGGATAGATAGTTTGCAGAATTTTTCTCCCATTCTGTCAGTTTTTCTCTTCAATCTCACTACTAGAAATATATCCAAAGATAAGAAAATCAGTACTTTGTAGAATTATCTGCACTTCATGTTTGTTATAGCACCATTCAAATAGCCAAGATAAGGAGTAGACCTAATGTTCATCAGCAGGTGAATGGCTACAGAAAGTAGTTTGTGTCTATGTGTATATGGCGGAGTATGGTTTAGCCACAAAATGGAGGAAATCCTGT